ACAACTCAGGAAATGGGCATCAAATACTGTTACCTAGGTACTTCAGAGAGGAGCTAAAGCAGAGGATATGGGGGAAAGGGCTGTCCTGGGAAGGCCCCCATGGGGTCCTACTCGGTTACAGTAGTAGATGGAGCTTGAGCTTAATTTCAATTTGCCCAGAGGTGGCTGGTGTTTTAAAGGGAGAATGAGGGAGTTGGGGAGATGGTAATGAGGGAGTAAAGGGGTCAAGCAGGGTTAGGGAAATTCAAAAATCACAAACACCTGGTATGAGAGTTGGTCAAAGTTAGCTTGATTAGGGCTTTTGTGCCTGCTAACTGTGCAAGTTACTAGACTTCTACCTTCCCGCGGAGTCTGATAATTACATACAAAAGGGATGGCTGTCAGGTCCTTGGGGACACCCTGTCTTGTAGGAGATACATACACATCTCAGAGGGACAGAGGAGAGGTTTACAATTTTAAGTTTATTTTTAAAATTAATGGGGGAATTCCCTGGCAGTCTCGTTGTTAGTACTTGGCGCTTTCACTGCGGTGGCCCAGGTTCGATTCCTGGTCGGGGAATTAAGATCCTGCAAGCTGCGCAGCATGCCAAAAAGAAAAAAAGGAGGTGAGGGACCTAGATCAGGTATTGGCTAGAACAAACAATAAATTCTTTTGGCAACCTTGAGTTTTCTAGACAGCAGTGAGGGAGGAGCAGGGTTGTGCTAGGGACGTGTCCTTAGGCTGATAGAAGCCATGCTAGAGTTTGGTCTGCTCTCTCAGTGCAGGTGTTTGGGTATTCATGCTGAGAGTTTTTGCAGTTTTTCTGTACCCCTCCTCCTTTTTAATGCCTTATCTTTCGAACTGCCAAAAAGAGAAGAGTTACTGGTACTTCCATTGTGTATATGAATCTAAGATTAATATGTTAATGATCTCACTGAGATAAATTCTGTGTATTTGCTGTGTAGGCATGTGAAACTACCTTTCTTATAAATATTGAGCTGATGTGAACTTTTAAATGGCCCCCACGCCCCCTCCCCTTTATTTTCCATCCTCAACCTTGTTTTTCTCTGTGTAGAAGAAGTTAAGAAGAACAGACACAGGGAGTTTTGGAGTGATAGCAGGCAGCCAGCCAAGAGGTCTCCCAGGCTGAATGGCATTCAGCCTTGCAGGCCCGGGACATTTGATTTTGTGTGTGTATTAGAAAGACTGTTCCTTAGGCACCATACAGGGGCTAGCAACAAGATGTGACCGCTCATTAACTACATATAGAGAGAGTCAAACTTAAAACCAGTATTATGGAATTATAACTTATGGTGATAAATATGAATGTTTTGGATATTGGAACATTCTCTAAAGAGGAATTGCATGCAAAACCAAATTATAATTATATATTGATACAAGGCTGCTTGGTTAGAATCAAGTTGGAACATGGGGAGTTAATGTGAATTACCAATCTACTAGGGATCCCCTTGCTTTAAGGTCCCAAGAATAACTGTCTAGACAGTCTCTGATAAACAAAGCTAATTTCTGGTTCTCTAGGCAGACTGTGGCCCCTGGGTCAAATCTGGCCTGCTGCTTGTTTATGTATGGCTTGAAAACTAAGAATGGTTTTATATATTTCAATGGTTGGGAGAATGGTTGACATATGAAAATTATATGAAATTCAAATTTCCTTATAAAGTGGTATTGTAATACAGTGAAGCTTACTTGTTTATGTATTTTCTGTGACTGCTTTTGCACTATAACAGCAGAGTTGAATAGTTGAAAAAGAGGCCATATGGTCACAAAGCCTAAATTATTTCCTGTTTGTCCCTTAGAAAAAGTTTGCTGACTCTTGGTGAGATTATATAGTCCTGCATAAGAATTATTTAAGTGTCATTTAGAGTACCTTTTTTATTTGCAGGTTTTATTTGCAGTATTTACTTCGTGGTAACAACATGTTAGGGCTACTTGGGCAAATCTAATTAATGTGCCTTTGGTTGGGGGGGAGTACCTCAAATGGCACAGTAGTATGTCTACATTGCCCTTAAAGAAACAGAAAATGAATAGCATGTTTATCTCTGAATATCAGCACAACAGAGGTTTTACACTCTAAGCATTGTAAATGAAGGTCAGTAAATTGAAGCTAAGTAGTGAGGAAGCAGACGCTTATATCTTAATTATCTCTGTATCTACCTCTCTTTCTCTTTCCTCCCCTTTCACACAGTAAATGATAATCAACAGTTGTTCAGCTATATTTGGTGTCTGACGCTGTGAGCTGTTGGCCATGCTTTGGAGCTGTGTCATTCTCAGCCCCTTTGGTGAAACTGAACTTCCCCACACTCAGCTTTACCCTACATCTTCTTCTAGGGGTATGGTATACAGTAGAGCACTCAAGAAATGCTTCATCCAAATCATAAGCTTGGCTCTGTGTTGTTGACTGTCCCTCTGTCTGATTTTTTTAAATTGAGATATTATTCACATACCGTGAGATTCACTCTTTAAAAATATGCAATTCAGTGTTTTTAAGCATATTCACAAGGATGTGCGCTATCTTAACTGTAGAACACTATCATAATTATAGAGCATTTTTGTTACTCTGAAACGAAATCTGCCCATAGCCACCACTGTCTGTTCCTCCCTCTGCTTACCCACTAGCAACTGCTAACGAATTTTGTCTATATGGATTTGACTCCTGTGGAAATTCCATATACAAACTTCCATAAATTTGTGACCTCTTATGTCTGGTTTCTTTCACATAGCATCGTGGTTTTTTGGGGGTTTTTTTGTGTTGTTTTTTTTTTGCGGTACGTGGGCCTCTCACTGTTGCGGCCTCTCCCGTTGCGAAGCACAGGCTCCGGACGCTCAGGCTCAGCAGCCATGGCTCACGGGCCTAGCTGCTCCGCGGCATGTGGGATCTTCCCAGACTGGGGCACGAACCCGTGACCCCTGCATCGGCAGGTGGACTCTCAACCACTGCGCCACCAGGGAAGCGCTAGCATCGTGTTTTGATGTTCATCCGTGCTGTACAATATATCACTACTTCATTCCTTTTCATGGATGCATAAAATCCCATTGTATTTATATTCCATGTATTATTTTATTCATTCATCAGTTGATGGAAATTTGGGTTGTTCCCACCTTTTGGCTATTATACTGTGATGAACATTTGTACAGTATATGTTTTCATTTTTGGGGAGTACATACCGAGGAGTGGAATTGCTAAGTCATGTGGTAACTCAGTGTTAACATTTTGAGGAATTGCTAAACTTTTTTTTACAAAGTGGCTGCACCATTTTACATTCCCATCATTTGCTATTATCCTTTTTTTAAAAAAATTTATTTAATTTATTTATTTTTGACTGCATTGGGTCTCCGTTGCCGCGTGAGCTTTCTCTAGCTGGCGGCAAGCAGGGGCTACTCTTCGTTGCAGTGCGCAGGCGTCTCATTGCAGTGGCTTCTCTTATTGCAGAGCATGGGCTCTAGGCGCGCAGGCTTCAGTAGTTGTGGTGCGTGGGCTCAGTAGTTGTAGCTTGTGGGCTCTAGAGCGCAAGCTCTGTAGTTGTGGCGCACAGGCTTAGTTGCTCCACAACATGTAGGATCTTCCCAGACCAAGGCTCGGACCCATGTCCCCTGCATTGGCAGGTGGTTTTTCAACCACTGCGCCATCAGGGAAGCCCCTATCCTTCTTTTTGATTACAGCTATCCTAACAGGTATGAAGTAATATTTCATTGTGGTTTTGATTTGCATTTCCCTAATGACTAAGGACATTGACTATCTTTTCCTGTGCTTATTGGCCATTTATATATATTCTTTGGCAAAGTGTCTATTCACATGTTGACCTTTAGGTTTTGATATAATCATTTGAGGTCTTCCTTGTGTAATATTCCAGAAATTTCCCTTATTCTGTATATCTCAATTTTTTTCCTCTACAAAATGTAGTGCTGTCAGTCAGAGGAAGTATGGTATTCCAGAGAATGGAGAGCTCATTCTTCCTTTTTGCCTTTGAAGATCCCCCATGATATAGTTCCTTGCCATACTGCATTCTGTCCTAACTTGGTAAAAAAAAAAAAAAAAGATGACACCGGTACAGGAGAGGAAAAGGGTAGCCCTCCCAGGAGGGCCAGCCTGGTCTTATTCCTAGGTTGAGGTGGTTATATAAAGCAGTTTCACTTGCCTGTTTGTTTTTCTCCTGCCAGTGTTTCTAGCTAATTGCCCAAGCTCCCAGATAATTTTGTGCCTTGTATTGGTTCTTCTCCCTTGGCCTTCATTATACTCTTTGTTCCTTGGATTGGAAAAAGAGCATGAAGTTTCTAGGTACTTTTTATCATTTTTTATGCCTATTTCACAATCTTTAAGGTCAGTATTATTACTGCTCCCCTTTTATGGCTGAGGAAACTGGCTCACAGAGGTCATAAAGCCCATGGTGCATCGCCTGATAAGTGGAATGGTTATCCAAGTCTTCTTTCCTCATCCTTTTAAAGAGTCTCTGGTTTGCTTGCAATGTTTGTATGAGAAGAGAAGCCTAGAAATTTAAGTTAATGCCACATTATAGAAGGTCTCAAATGCCAAGCAGTGGAATCTTTACCCATGATTAGGAGGATTTTGAGTTGGAGAGTTACTTGAATAAAAATGTGCCTACAGTTTGGCATAGTTTTTTTAGCTTGCTTCTATTGTAGGCATAGAGATGAATAAACTATTGTTCTTGCCATCGAGGAACTTCTAGGCTGTTTGGAGAGGTGGAATCAGATAATTACTTGCATTTGGGAAAATGTGCCACAAAAGTGTGTATAAAATTCTTGAGAGCAGAGGAGAAAGCTGCAGGGATCCCTGCTTACCTTAAATTCAATCATCAGACAGTAGTAAACATTTCTGGTATATTTAAGTAATAGGCATTTCAGGGTGGGATTGGATTCAGTTGTGTTTGGTATAAACTTTTTCCTTTATATATTAACAAAACTGTTAACATAATTGTACAACAAAACTACCAATGTAAATTTAAATTGCTTTTATGTATTAAGACTTTAACTTTCTCTGACAGATATGTCAAGAGTTTAACAGCACCTGGGCATGGGAGATGGAGAAGAAAGGCTATCTTGAAATGAGTGTTGAATGCAAGTTAGCACTCTTAAAGGTAATAAATTTATTATTTGTTACAGTTATTTTAATTAAAAAATTCACTTTTGACTCCTTCTGGTTGAATTGGGAAATAACTAGAAAGTAGACTTTTGGTGGGGGGCTTACGCCTGCAGCATGTGGGATCTTAGTTCCCCGACCAGGGATCGAACCTGCACCCCCTGCAGTGGAAGCACCAAGTCTTAACCACTGGACCACCAGGGAAGTCCCCAAGTAGACATTTTCACTGTTAGCAGAAAAGGACAATAGATTTTTCTTTTTCTTGTTTATTGTTTGGTGATAAAACTGTTCTTTGAATTACTGTTTTGGGTTATTTTTCAATATACAAGTATATCTAGGTTTATGATCTCTGCTTGTAGGGAAAATAGTAGAATGGGTAAACCCCACATTAATTTTATGCATTATTTGCAGCCTTCACAGTCATTGTTAACAAATACGGTAAACTGTGGTTAATCTTTTACTGATTTACTAAATTAGTAATTTGATCATTAGTTTTCCAGATGACATGGGGCATGCCAGTGTGTACTTAATAAAAGTCTCACATAACCAAACCTACTTAATTAAAATAGGTCTTCTCAAAGTATAGATTTATTTTCAAGTTTGAGTTCCCCTTTTTCTCCTTGCTTGCTTCAGTGTGTTGGCCCTAATTATTAGCAATGTGGTCAGCATAATGAAGGGGAAAACTACCTTTATAGAAGAGAGTCTACGGGCCTAGACACCACAGGCAAAGGCAAAGAGGCTATGATAGAAACGTCATGTATTATTTGCCCGGGCAGATAGGTTCAGGGAAGAAATCTGACTTTATACACTAATCATACACAAAAATTTTAATTAAAAATCAGTTCTTCCAATTTGGTGATGTCTTTTTTTTTTTTAAAGAGAATTCCACAGAGTAAGTTATCAATAAGACTGCCTTCCTTAAAAACTGTATATGTCTCAAGCTTTCAAAAACAGATAGCCATTTCAAGAATGAAGTTTGTCTAAAAGCTTTAAGAGAGAAGGAGTGATTGAAAATTTTATACCATGAACAAATTTGGGAAACTTTAGTACAAACAGACTCATTGCTTTAAAATATAACTTCACTTTTGTGTCATTGGTTGGGTTAAACCTATAAATTTCTGTAATACAAAAATTAAATGTTAACTTAGAAATTTATGTTTTAAAGTTGGTTACTGTAAAATAAGTGTACAAAAGGGGAGAGAGGAAAGTGAAAGATGGATAAAACTAAAAGTATTCTTTCTCCTATCCCCAAATCTGTTCCTTGGTTGAACATATCACATTTATTTTCATGGAGAAACATTTATGGGGTATTTTAAACCATGTCATGACTATTTTCCAGTACCTCTGTGAGTGTCAGTTTGATGACAATCTCAAATTCAAGAATATTATCAATGAGGAGGATGCCGATACCATGCGTCTCCAGCCAATTGGCCGTGACAAAGATGGCCTCATGTACTGGTACCAGTTGGATCAAGATCACAATGTCAGAATGTATATAGAAGAACAAGATGATCAAGATGGCTCTTCATGGAAATGCATCGTCAGGTATCTTTTATTGGAATTTTTTTAATGTTTATTTGCATGTTTCTTACTTTGATCTCTTCTCTATTGGAATATAATCTCTAAAGCTGGGTGATCCTTTTCTTTTTATGGGATTGGGAATTTGCAGGACCTAGCCTAGTGCCCAGCATAATACCCATAGCAGGTGCTCAATTATTTGTCAGATAAATATATTTAGCAGTGTGGTCCATATCAGGACAAATACCTTGTACTTTGGAAAGCTGGAATCTGAAAAATAATGATGCATAGGTAATATGCACACAGAAACTCATCGTTGGAAAGAAATGTAAGAAAAACATTATATATATATTTTTTGGCTGTGGTGCACAGCTTCGGGATCTTAGTTCCCGGACCAGGGATCAAGCCCATGCCCTCGGCAATGAAAGCCCAGCGTCCTAACCATTGGACTGCCAGGAAATTCCCAGAAAAACATTATTTGATTTTTATTTAGCTATATAGTTTTCTATTAGACATTATTTGTTTATTACTCATTAATGTGGCTAATTCATCTGACACTTAACTATATTTTCAGTTTTTCCTGTGCATACATTTCTTTACTGAGGTCTGAAGAAATCTGAGGAACATTCTACTTTTTTTGCCCTGATCTTTTTTTTTTTCTATTCTTAATTTCTTTCGTTTATTTATTTATTTTACTTATTTATTTTTGGCTGTGTTGAGTCTTAATTGCTGCACGCAGGCTTTCTCTAGTTGTGGCTAGCAGGGGCTACTCTTTGTTGTAGCACGTGGGCTTCTCATTGCGGTGGCTTCTCTTGCTGCAGAGCACAGGCTCTGGTCGCGCAGGCTTCTGTAGTTGTGGCTCGCGGGCTCTAGAGCACAGGCTCAGTAGTTGTGGCGCAAAGCCTTAGTTGCTCTGTGGCATGTGGGATCTTCCCAGACCAGGGATCGAACTCATGTCCCCTGCATTGGCAGGTGCATTCTTAACCGCTGTGCCACCAGGGAAGTCCCTCTATTCTTAATTAATTTTTTTTCTTTTACATCTTTGTTGGAGTATAATTGCTTTACAATGTTGTGTTAGTTTCTGCTGTATAACAAAGTGAATCAGCTATATGTACACATATATCCCCATATCCCCTCCCTCTTGCATCTCCCTCCCATCCTCCCAATTCCACCCTTCTAGGTAGTCACAAAGCACCGACCTGATCTCCCTGTGCTATACAGCTGCTTCCCACTAGCTATCTGTTTTACATTTGGTAGTATATATATGTCAGTGCTACTCTCTCACCTCGTCCCAGCTTCCTCTCCCTGCCCCATGTCCTCAAGTCCATTCTCTACGTCTGCGTCTTTATTCCTGTCCTGCCCCTAGGTTTTTCAGAAACCTTTTTTTTTAAGATTCCATATATATGTGTTAGCATATAGTATTTGTTTTCCTCTTTCTGACTTACTTCACTCTGTATGACAGGTTCTAGGTCCATCCGCCTCACTAAAAATAACTCAGTTTCGTGTCTTCTTATGGCTGAGTAATATTCCAACGTATATATATGCCGCATCTTCTTTATCCATTCATCTATTGATGGATACTTAGGTTGCTTCCATGTCCTGTTATTGTAAATAGTGCTGAAATGAACATTGTGGTACATGACTCTTTTTTTGAATTATGGTTTTCTCAGGGTATATGCCCAGTAGGGGGATTGCTGGGTCATATGGTAGTTCTATTTGTAGTTTTTTAAGGAACCTCCATACAGTTCTCCATAGTGGCTGTATCAATTCACATTCCCACCAACAGCACAGGAGGGTTCTCTTTTCTCCACACCCTCTCCAGCATTTATTGTTTGTACATTTTTTCATGATGGCCATTCTGACCAGTGTGAGGTGACACCTCATTGTGGTTTTGATTTCTATTTCTTTAATGATTCCTGATGTTGAGCATACTTTCATTTGTTTGTGGGCAGTCTGTATATCTTCTTTGGAGAAATGTCTATTTCGGTCTTCTGCCCGTTTTTGGATTGGGTTGTTTGATTGATTGATTGATTGATTTTTGGGTACGTGGGCCTCTCACTGTTGTGACCTCTCCCGTTGTGGAGCGCAGGCTCAGCGGCCATGGCTCACGGGCCCAGCGGCTCCGCAGCATGTGGGATCTTCCCTGATCAGGGCACAAACCCATGTCCCCTGCATCGGCAGGTGGACTCTCAACCACTGCGCCACCAGGGAAGCCCAGGTTGTTTGAATTTGATATTGAGCTGCATGAGCTGCTTGTGTATTTTGGAGATTAATCCTTTATCACTTGCTTCGTTTGCAAATATTTTCTCCCATTCTGAGGACTGTCTTTTGGTCTTGTTTATGGTTTCCTTTGCTGTGCAAAAGCTTTTAAGTTTCATTAGGTCCCATTTGTTTATTTTTGTTTTTATTTCCAATACTTTAGGACGTGGGTCAAAAAGGATCTTGCTGTGATTTATGTCATAGAGTGGTCTGCCTATGTTTTCGTCTAAGAGTTTTATACTATCTGGCCTTACATTTAAGTCTTTAATCCATTTTGAGTTTATTTTTGTGTATGGTGTTAGGAAGAGTTCTAATTTCATTCTTTTACATGTAGCTGTCCAGTTTTCCCAGCACCACTTAAC